CGACTGATGTGTCATAAAGCGGCTTAATATGGAAGAAAAAGCTGTCATCGGATAGATATGCACAACAACGTGTGATTACGGCTTTCGAGAATTTATTCAAATTTATTCCCTGATGCACATGTTCCGCGAATGTCTTAACCCCTGTAGAGGCACAGGACTTTCAGGATGTCACCTTCGAACAAGCCATTGCATCCATATATCGTTTCTGGAGCGAGAGCGTTCACCTAAATAACAGGATGAATTACAATTTCAAATCTAAGAAATTGCTTTTTGGACTACTGTATCTGTTAACGCCATATCTCTCGCAACTATCATTACACTCACTTTCACCAACACATTAATAGGGCAGACTTTCTTCGAGACGTTGACAAGGGCTGACATCAATAGGGCAGACCTTCTTCGAGACGTTGACAAGGGCTGGTTTAGAAGGGCTATCTTCCACATCAAACTTCATACAGGATGCGATTTTGGGGGATGATGCGTAGTGTCACTCACTCGGTTCGTAACTAGGGGATGTGTTAACTCACTTTATCTTTTCCACCTCCAGCTCTGAGCGCCAGTCGCACTTTCTTGCTGAGCGGCCAGTTGCGTTCTTCACCAGAGAACTTCCTTCGAGGAAACAGAATAAGTTACATCTCATTCGAAACCCAACGAAAAGACCATAAGTGAGCCTACCTTTGGCCGTCCAACCTTACGTAGATATTATTGGGCTCTATACCCACTAGGTCATAGCAAGCTTCATACGAGAGTTCGTTGTTCCATTCCTGCAAGCGAAAAATTGCCACTAATCGGTAGGGTGGAATTTTCATTGGAGATCGATCTCGAAGAAAATTGATGTGTTCAGTGGAGAGATATCACAAACCAGATTGGGGTTGTACATTCTATTGAAACTCCTAAACCAGTCACTCTGTGCTCTGTAAGTGATACATTTTGCAAGAGCATCAGGATCTGAAATATACTAGTCTATGCCATGTGAAATTCAGGCAACCGCTATGATGCCACAACTTTGGCTAAAGTTCCTCAAATGCTAACACGGAAATGAAGGGACTCACATTCAACGCTTGGCGTTTGCCAGGACGAAGCACAACCCTAAGAGAACGAACAACATCGTAATTGTGATAACACCTGCTGGATTTCCTCTCCTTTTATACTAATCCTTCTCAAACAGCTCCATTTACTGTGCGCTACCTTTTTTTATCAATTCACATAACACGTGTTTTGCACTTTATGAGAGAGCACCGTTTCTGAAATCAATTTGAACGGAACACGACACTCCATGTTCGACTGTCCATGAACCTTGGCATGGTGTGTGTCCTTGTCTTCAATGATTTCTTGAAGCCACAGCCAAGGTGTTAAATCACTTTATTGGGCTTACGTTTCGGCTAGTCGCCTTCGTCAGAGCCTGGAAGTTGAAGATCAGTGATTCAATCCTCATAAATCATTTCAAACTTAGAAATAGTTCCGTAGATCAGCACAATAGGAAGTTATCGCAAATCCAAAAGGCAAGAACTCACCTAGGAACTAACGGGAGGCTTTGTAGAGAACCACCCCTAAACAGACTGAATGTGTGTGGCTTCAGCCCCCGATCTGAAGCCGATTTTGATTGAAGCTCACACAGGTCAACGAACGGGGCGAGCTCGTTTGTAATGGCGAGGCACTCGTCTTTCTTGTTCATTTTTGGACCTTTAGCGCGTATCCAAAAGGCCTCCAAAGTTTTGCGTGCTGAGGTCTGGGGCTCTCGCATCAAAATCCTTACAGTCACCTCAAACTCCGCACCTCCATGGCACTGCCTCCTGTGAGCTCCCAGGGGGTCTCCGGTCTTGACTTCTTCAAGCCATCCAAGTGTTCCCTGATCCTGGAACAAAGTGGTCGTCCGGTTTCCCCAATGTACTCATCCCCACATAGCGCACATGATATCAGGTAGATCACGCCTGATCTCATGCAATCACCCAATCGCCCATGAGGACAAATGACACAATCCGGGGTAATACAGTATTGATCGTACCCGCGGTTGCGAATCAGCTGTTTCCTAAGGTTCGCAGGGGGATCTCGACTACACGGACTAGACCGTCGAGACCACACCTACGCAGGGTCGTTCTTACGGTGCAGCTGATCGCGTCGCTCACAAAAGGCAAACAAAATGGCACCTTCCCAGACTGCTCGACTTCCAATCCCTCTTGCCTCCTACTAGGTGGTCCAGAAAGGCATTTAGCCCTTGGGGTGGGGGGAGAGTATCCATTGGAAAGGGAAATGTTCTGGGCGAGCTCCAAGGACTCCGCTTTCTCCTGACTGCCTGAAGAAACTGTATTAGCCGTCCTGAACATGTTGTTGTTGATAGCTTATTGTTTTGAGAGGATGCGCCGACAAGAAATGAACCAAAATGTTTTTGTTGATGGTTACGGTACCATTTGGTCCGATAGAACCCTCGTATCACTGGACCTGCACGTTGAGAAAAGGAAGCCAATCGTCTTGTGGCTTCTCTCTTGTGAAGTGGATGTTCTCAGCTTGGTTGTTCAGCAGGTCAAAACATGCGTCCATTTCCTTCGCGGCTGCAAACCACGAAACAGTCGTTTATTTAATGTATAGAATGGGTGAGCGTTCAGAAGCGGCTTTTCAATCTTGGACATGTAGGCGATGGCTAGTACTGGTGCTAACCGTTGACCCATAGCCAGTCCTCTGATCTGCCTGTAGTACTGCCCCGACCACCTGAAAATGGAGCAGTCAAGACACTCTTTTACAAGTGTCATTACGTGGGTGGTCGAAAGGCCGTACATGTTTATCGATTGCTCATGTTCGCGAAGCAGTTCAAAGGTGGCCTGCATGCATGCCCTCGTTTGACACGTTGATGTAGAGTGACAACATTAAACGATTCCAGGGACATGTTTCCTTCTAACCTGGCCTCCGTAACTTCTCAAGGAAGTTGTTGGTATTACTAAGGTGGGCAGGGATAAAAGGCAACAGTGCACCAGTACAAGATTCAACAGCCACGATATCCTGTCGGTGGGCCCCCTACACTTACTTATTATCGGGCGTACCTTGAAGTCCGAGGGATTCGTGGAAGACAGGGTGGTCTGCTGTAGCTTATGAGTCTTGATGAGGACATAGAGGACTGGACAGGTTGGTAGATCACACTTTAGTCGTGTACCTACGGTTCTTGACAGCTGCGCAGCCTTTGCTATGTCGACCCACAACCCTGTTTAGCCTGCGATACTGCCTTTTGAATTCCTCCTCAGATGATGGCCGGTAAAGACTTTCATCTCGGAGGTGCAAACTTGTTATGGCAATATCAAGATCTCGAGGCAATACCACGAACTCACCTCCTTTATCGCTGACGGATATTTCAACGCGATTGGAGTGTGTGAGATCCCTCAGTTCTTGGAGCCCGCGTTTTTGCGCAGCTGTGAGATTTGAGGGTGGTCTTATCGAGCTGTTGCGACTAAGCATGGAGAATATGGAGGTCGCGAACAGCCGAAACTTGACATCCACCGAGGGACCTTGGGGTCTGAAGAAAAGGGAGGGGAATGGCATAGCGGGAAACGTGACAGTTATACGAATTGTGTGCCGTTTCCTGCAGTTTGGCCTTGGGACGAAGATAGCCTTGAAGAGTTTGCAAGACTCCCAGGATTTTTCGCGATACCCCATGGCCTGATCGATTGACTCGGTGCAAAGCTGAGGACCGTGATACAGAACAGATAGCGCATTATCGGAAAGGTTTATGTCGCCAATTACAGTTCCAGGCCCTGACGAAGGCGACTAGAAGAAACGTAAGCCCAATAAAGTGATTTAACACCTTGGTTGTGGCTACAAGAAATCATTGAAGACAAGAACACACACCATGCCAAGGTTCATGGACAGTCGAACATGGAGTATCGTGTTGCGTCAAATTGATTCCAGAAACGGTGCTCTCCCTCTCATAAAGTGCAAAACACGTGTAATGTGAATTGACAAAAAAAGGTAGCGCACAGTAAATGGAGCTGTTTGAGAAGGATTAGTATAAAAGGAGAGGAAATCCAGCAGGTGTTATCACAATTACGATGTTGTTCGTTCTCTTAGGGTTGTGCTTCGTCCTGGCAAACGCCAACGTTGAATGTGAGTCCCTTCATTTCCGTGTTAGCATTTGAGGAACTTTAGCCAAAGTTGTGGCATCATAGCGGTTGCCTGAATTTCACATGGCATAGACTAGTATATTTCAGATCCTGATGCTCTTGCAAAATGTATCACTTACAGAGCACAGAGTGACTGGTTTAGGAGTTTCAATAGAATGTACAACCCCAATCTGGTTTGTGATATCTCTTCCACTGAACACATCAATTTTCTTCGAGATCGATCTCCAATGAAAATTCCACCCTACCGATTAGTGGCAATTTTTCGCTTGCAGGAATGGAACAACGAACTCTCGTATGAAGCTTGCTATGACCTAGTGGGTATAGAGCCCAATAATATCTACGTAAGGTTGGACGGCCAAAGGTAGGCTCACTTATGGG